ATACGAACCAGAGTCCTGGCAGGAGCTTTGTTGAGCTCCCGACGGCGGCAGCTCCTCCCCTCGAAGCCCGGGAACTTTTATCTTATAGGAGAAGGAGTGGTAGCACTTGGGGGAGTTAAAAGAGGGATCAGCCTAGAATCCCTATGTAGGTACAAGCAGACTAAGTCCAGCGTCCCTTGAATTTCTTTCACCTTTATCTAACTCCAAGGAAATGCTAACCGTTAGTTGAGAACATTCCTGTGCATAGATGTTTTAGCAATAAATGTGTTTAATGACCTTCACATGTGAATCTGAACTTCCATGCCTGACAACTCCTCTGAATAAAATAAGGCACATTGATCTGGATCAAAAAAAAATCTCAATTATGAAAGCAAGAGTAATCATCTTATATTGTGTCAATGATTGTTTCAAATTTCTGAACACAGAAGCTTGCTTAACACAACTGACAGGAAACATCATTAAATTTGCTTTATACAGTGCAGTGCTACACTGAAAGGTTGTACATGCGTTTGGCATGCACGTGAGCGAAGAGAGCGTGCACATGGGAAAAAAATTGTGCACCAAACCAGCAGTAATGCCGATAGCAACCCACCCCTGCAAGGCACATAGGAAATATAAAAGAAAGTAATAAAAGCAATTTATTCCTAAAATATAGTAACAAAATAGCAAAAACATAAATGGAAACAAAACAGAATACATGCGAATAAGCTATAGTAATACAGAAAAGAAAAGACCTGTGTTTTTCTTCCTTAGCAGTGAATTTTGGTCCATTCCCTCCCCCCTCCCCCCGCTCTCCTTTAAGGTCTATGATGGCGATTTGGAGAGCGAGTTCAACAATTTTGAAGACTGGGTAAAAACATTTGAACTCCTTCGAGGCAAAATTACTGAGGACGATCATACTGATTTTGAAGACAGGATTGTCGGGAAATTTAAGGTAGGGTTCAAGACGGACAAAATATATGTGTGATGTGTCAAGGATAGGTATTGTAGAAAAATCCATATTACTCGTTACTGCTGTGTACTGCTTCAAGAGCCGAGGTGGCGCAGTGGTTAGAGTGCAGTACTGCAGGCCACTTCAGCTGACTGCTATCTGCAGTTCGGCGGTTCAANTTATTGTTGTAAGCCGCCCTGAGTCCCCTCAGGGAAAAGGGCGGCATATAAATTTTCAATAAAATCATAAAAATCATAAAATCAAACCAATCTACCAATCATGATACAACCACACAACCAATCATTCCACTTACTGAAACAAAGCCAGCACTCCACACACACCCATAGAAAGACGGCAGTTCCGATCACACTTTAAGCCCAAAACCCACCCCGAAGATGCCGAGTGAGACCTTGCTGAAATGTTGCCAAGACAATCTCAATCTTACACGGAATGGCTGTGTGTGTGTGCGTGTGTGTGTGTGTGTGTGTGTGTGTGTATGTTCCAACATAACTCCGGAACACCTGGGCCGCTGAAATGAAAAGGACTGAATTATGTCCATAGTGTCAAGTCACTGAACCTTTGACAATGCACTGTGTGCATTTTGGATCCCTTTTCTGTTAAGATACAGCCTGTGGTGCCTTAAAATAGCTTCTACTGTACACCACAGAGGAGTTGCCATGGTAACGGCTTCGCAGTACTTCACAAGGGGGCTCCCTCTAATACAGGATTGGGATAAATACATATCTGGGCTATGCCGGGTTATCAACTAGTATCCCCTAAAACAGATATATAGAAAACATGGGATTACTGGAATGCAAAAGACTTTTACCTCAAGTATGTTGGCAGCAAATGTGGATGTTCTACATCAGGGGTATCCAACCTTGACAACCTGAAAACCTGTGGACTTCAACTCCCAGAATTCCCCAGCCAGCCAGGCTAACGAGATTCAGAAGTTTAGCACATTTCAGAAAGGTCTCAAAAGGCATTCTTAAGGCACGTCCACATAGAAGGAGATTTTGAGTGACAAAGGATCCCCCCCCCCAACATCCTTCTTCATGGAGAACTTGCCACAGTAGGTTCTTTCTTACCTACTGCAATTTCATAGATGTGCTGCAAAAAACAGGCTCAAGGTTATGGGACCTGTTTTTGCATTCACATGGTGTGTGAGGTTATTTGGCCATTCCTCTCATAGGAACTTTATAACTGAGATTATATAGGAAGGGTGATGTTTAATTTTCCCTCCCTCTGGTTGCGCTTCTGATATACCCCTCTCTGGTACCTACTGGCAAGGAAAACATGGAGAAATGCTGGGCATTCATTGTCTACTTTGGCCCTAAACTTGAGTGTTTGGTCTAAATTTCTAGTCTAAATGAGCAGAGAGATGGACTGCAGGAAAGGAGCGGGTTAATTCAAGCTATAGCATCTAGAGAAGTTTTATTAAGAAGATGGTGGCTCATAATGTCATCTTTTGTGTAATTGTTATTAGCTGGGAAGTTGGTCAAGGTGAGTGGAATTCTAATCATTAAACCACTGACACAGCAGAACTTCTGGGAGATTTAATTATGCGGATTATTTGCATCTGCCCCTGAGTGAAATGTTTTAATCAGTTAGCCAAATTATACGGAGTTACTCTTTCCGATTCTGTATTCATGTTCAGTATAATTTTGCCCTCATTTGAAATGCAGTTCTGCTGTTTAGCAGGCTATGCGTAGTAGTATGTGGGAAAGATCTTGGAGAGGGGGACAAAGAGATACTGCCTAGAGAATGGTCAGATAAGAGAAGGCATAGCCCACAGCTGTATAATGGATGGAGAAAGAGATTCAGAAGGGACCCTCCCTAGCTTTTCAAGCTGTGAAGGAGACAGCCAAAGAATTGTACCTTCAGACCTGTAAGATTCTGTTAAGGTAGCCATACAATAAAGTAGAATTAGCGTGTCTGGCATATTTCTTGTTTGATCTACGTGGAAATGCTGACACCATGTGCCATTGTTCCCCTTGTTGTCTTGGTAAATACTGTTGGAAGAAATGTTCTTCTGGGTTTAGTTCCAAGTGGAGAAAAAGACACTGGAAACATGGAGGCTGCTTGGAAAGATGGTTTTAATGGTGGACAGGGTCACATGCTTCAAGATCTTGGGTGAAGAAAAAAAGGGAAGAGATGCTGAGAGTGCCAGAGTTTTATATCCTCTCTGGGCTTTTGAATTTGAGCTTATATTCTGATTGGGTGTCAGACTCCCATGGGGCCATGCAGGAGCAACTCTGTAGGCTGTCCTGAGTCCCAAGCTTGGTTGACTCGTGCTGGGTGATGATGTAATGAAAAGGGCTTTGGGATTCCTATTATGGCTCTGTCTGAAGGAGATAGATCTTTGTTATGTAGTGTAGACTGGCTCAGGCCTTACTGGCCCATTTACAAAGGAGGGGGGGCTGAGTCTCTGCCTCGCTTTTAGGGGAAATATTCTGCCCTTTTAATATTTCCTAAAACATTTCATTTTTTAAAGAGCGGGTGGGTGCTAACTTCCTACAGCACAGTATACGCCTTCATAGAAAATATGGCCCAAGCATCAAATGTTGGCTTGGAATATCTGAATGCCGGTGTGAAGAAATTTGAAATATTTTGCCAGACCTAAAATCAAAGGCTATTTAAATGGCGTGGTTATTTATGAAGAGCTATTTAAATCAAAAGGAAGTGTGAAAAACAAAGGAGTATGGTGTGAAGATTATGCCTGTGGAAATATGGAAAGGTACAGCATGGGTGGGCCTGAACAGAAGCAAAACTGAAGCAGTTTTTTGACATGAGTACAGAAGTGGGTTCCTACCAGTTCGCACCTATTCGGTAGAGCCAGTTCATGAAATCTACCGAACCGGTTAGAAGAGGTTCCACCAATGGACCCGAAAAGCAGGCTACACTTACAGAAGAGGTTCCAAAAAGTTTTGAAACCCACCACTGCCACCCCCCCCACACACACAGAGAGACAGACAGANTCCATCCATCCATCCTTCCTTCCTTCCTTCCTTCCTTCCTTCCTTCCTTCCTTCTTTCCTTCCTTCCATCCCTCCCTATTTGGACTCTAACTCAGTTTAGGCTTACAGTACAGTAAAGTTTAAGCCATCCTATTTTATGAAATACACCATTGTTCTCGACCCTAGCAACTTTAAGGTGTGTAGACTTCAATTCCCAGAATTCCCCAGCCAGCAAGACCAACCCTCCAAAGTCCACACATCTTAAATTTACCGAGGTTGAGATGCACTAAAGTATTGAATAGTCGGCACCTCTTTTCATATTTCAAAACCATGCCACTGAACTTTGGCAGTGTAGCCAGAAAGCATTTTAGATGCCATAAATAATAATAATATTTTAACTGCATATTGCACTATCACCAACTTATCCATAGTTTCCTTATATAGTGGAGGGGGTGGGGGAGAGTTGAACTAGTGATATTTTTCCTTTAGTTTAGTTAGAATGTCACCAGTTAAGATTTATAGACCTTAATCCAGCTGTCAAATAGTATGCGTGTTTTTTCCTTTGGCAAGTGAACAGAAACACAGCACTGAGTTGCTGTTCTGAGATTGTTAATCTTATAATTGCCAGACCAAGGTAAGCAACCTAACAGCAGATAAACAAGTCAGAAAATCTAAACATTGATTGCAGAGCTGCTAGCCACATCTGTTTCGTTCCTTTGAATGCTAGACTTAAAATAACAATGCCGAGATATTGCCAGAAGTGACTAAAATATTAAATAAAGTTGTCCTTAAGAAGAAATGAAAGAAGAGCATCAACCTAAGATGATGGGGTTTAGGGAATAATTTCCAAAATGTTTTTTTTTTTGTCTGCATTACCTGAGTTTATTTGACATGAGTAATTTAGCCATGTTGTTTATATATTGACCGAAGGGCTGCTTCTGCATATACAAAACTCCTGAAGACTCTTCCTCAGGCGACGGAGGTCCTCTGAGAATTCTGCAAGGCCTACCCCCAAATCACTCAGTGAATGTTCTAATCAGAGTATATATTGTGGCCGTAAGTATCCCTTAAACTCCTGTCAAATTCTTCTTTTAAGTTAAAAAGATTCCATTGGTTCCAATGCAAGAAAGAGTTCCAAGATAATGAAGATATAAAGATCTATAAAAGGCAAATAACTTGCACCTCTACTTGTAGGAGGAGTGGCAGACCTTGTGGGTGGAGTTAAAAGAAGAATTGGCCTAGAATCCCTATGTAGCTACAAGCGAACTAAGTTCAACTTCCTTTGCATTCCGTTGATCTTTATCTAACTCCAAGCAGGTGCTGTTAGTTGAGTAGATTTCAGTGCCTGGGCATAATTATCGTGTTTCCCCAAAAATAAGACAGGGTCTTATTTTCTTTTGATCCCTAAAATAAGCACTGCAGGAAGTGGCGAGTGTGGTCACATCATGGCTGCTGCTGTGTTGCAATATTTTTGGGGAGGGCTTATTTTAGCGCATGGGCTCAAAAAGCCCAATTGGGCTTATTATCCGGGGAGGTCTTATTTGGGGGGAAACAGGGTAGGAATAAATCAATTTAATTGATCTTCATGTATGGATCTGATCTTCTGCACCTGATACATATTCTGGGAGTTGAAGTCCGCTCATCTTAAAGTTGCCAAAGTTGGGAAATGATGCTTTAGACCAGTGTTTCCCAAACTTGGCAACTTTAAGACTTGTGGACTTCAACTCCCAGAGTTCTCCAGCCAGAAGAGCTAGCTGGAGAATTCT